CTGGAAATCAATTTGGGGTTTAGGTTTAGTTACTGGAGTTACTGGTGAGACCAAGGGGTGGTTTATGACGCAATTATTGTGTTAAATTCGAATTTGGGCGGTTTAGGGTCGTCCCTAGGTATTACGTGTAAACTGCTCGATAAATATGTCGGTAGGTAGGTCGGTTGACATACCCCCAGTATATATTCAATATATCTTGAAGTTGGTCAGTTGACAATATCCCCAGCATATAATCAATATATCTTGAGGTAGGTCGGTTGACAATATCCCCAGTATATATTCATTATTCAATATATCTAGAGGTAGGTCGGTTTACATACCCCCAGTATATATTCCTTGGGTAGGTCGGTTGACATACTGTCGCAACCAATACTGGAAAGTACTGAGTTTAATTTGTGCAATAAATGTGACTTATTGTTCTACTATGTTCTACTAACTGACCATAAATAATCTAGAGGTAGGTCGGTTTACATATATATTCCTTGGGTAGGTCGGTTGACATATTGTCCAATACTGGAAAATACTGAGTTTAATTTGTCCAATAAATTGAATTATTGTTCTACTATGTTCTACTAACTGACCATAAATATATCTAGAGGTAGGTCGGTTTACATATATATTCCTTGGGTAGGTCGGTTGACATATTGTCCAATACTGGAAAGTACTGAGTTTGTGCAATAAATGTGACTTATTGTTCTACTATGTTCTACTAACTGACCATAAATATATCTAGAGGTAGGTCGGTTTACATATATATTCCTTGGGTAGGTCGGTTGACATATTGTCCAATACTGGAAAATACTGAGTTTAATTTGTGCAATAAATGTGACTTATTGTTCTACTATGTTCTACTAACTGACCATAAATAAGCTAGCTTCCAATATCTTTAAGAACAGGTTTTATATCCTTCCATACCTTACAAGGGGGTACTGCGACGGGGGATACCGATTCGGATTTGGTATATTGTATTTCCTCCGAGCCCTTGCAGAATTTGAACCTAACTTTTACATATTTCTTTAAATACATTTTTTATGTAAATATTTTTTTATATATGGAGTATTTATTGTTCTTTAAATTTTGTAAAATATCTTTAAGTTTGCCACCTACTGTCTAACCTTTTAAATAAAATATCTTTAAGTTTGCCACCTACTGTCTAACCTTTCAAATAAAAACTTATTTTTGTTTTTTTTTCAGAGTAAAATATTTAAAAACAGATATCTTTGAATTTTCTCAGCTTCTTTTTTCGTCAAACACCATCTCTATTCCTCGTATAAGAATTCAGGGATTATGCCTAAATCTGCTAGGTTTAAGAAACTTCAAGAAACAAGAAGAAAGATACTTTAATGTTTCATTCGCTTCCAAGCAAAACACCTTTACAGTAGATTATAGTATACATAGCTTGATAACCCAGCGTTGCCTAGGGTACTATACTCATACTCCCGCCGTTTACCCGCGCTTGATCGTTAATTATGATTTTAGCTATTATTCCCTATAATAGTACCCCCCAAGTTAAGAATATTCCCGTGGTTCTCCCGAGTTTCCAAATCAAAATTTGAGGCAAACAGAGATTACAACTTTATTTATACATAGATTACGCAAAATTAGAACTATAACAAAAACTAGAAAAAAATATTTACAAGGCACAAGATTTTTCTGAGCTAAGAGTCGAAAATTCAAAATTCTTATCCGTAAACATGAGATGAATGATAAAGGCTGTTATTTTTTAACATTTTAGTTCTTTTGGGGGGTTACGTGGCTTTCATAGTTTTATTCTCTTTGCTTTCAATCAAATCATGAAAAATTTATCTCTGACAGAAGATCAACGCATTACAGGAAAAAAAGCCCAATCGCTCTCCAACGAACGGTTTAAAAAACCCGGTAATCCCGGTACCTTCTGTCCCAGTCATTAGTTTGCAAAGAAAAAGATAAGCAAACTTTTTTCTAGGAAACTCTTGAAAGCCAAAAATCTTATTAAAAAAAGGGCTCAAAGAGCGTATCCGGTATCCACCTTTATGATGTCTCTAGGAGGGTCTAAACTGAAAGCACATTTTGACGATATACATAAATATATATCTATATAATAAAGCTCTTCTTCGCTTATATATATATATGTCAGCTATAGCTGGCCAAACGGCTGGATCGAATGGGCTGACATTTTTTGAGGAAACCCAAGGGTATTGGGTACCCGAGGGGTAACAAAAAATTTGAAAAATTCAAATATTTTCTTCAAAATTTGTTTTTTTCTACATTCGGTTTATTTTTATTCCGCGGGCAACGCCGGGCACTTGAGCAAGTAAATTTATATAATGTATAATGAATATAGATCTGAAACTCTGTGATGATTGTAGAGTGTAGAGAGATATGTCTGTGCACAAGAACTACAATGGCAATAAAAGACCAGATTTAAGGGGGATGTTTAATTGGTTAGATGTGTATGTGTAGTAGTTGGTGTCCCAAGGGTACCATCACACAAACTTTAAAAACAAACAAGCTTGGAGGGAAAACCATTCGTTAAACTCGTCTCTTATCGACGCAGAAATTTTTCGTGTTTTTATAGAATATCAACAATGTTCTTAAGCTATATTATGTGGTTTATCATGTTGTAATTTCAAATTTTAAAGAGTAGTTTCAAATTGTCGAAACATTTAATATTGTTTGTTCTATATCCCCTTTGTATGCCAATTCCATTAGCGCCTGATCCAATCAGGGTTTAGTCATGTGTTTGGTGTCAATTCTGAACCAATAGAAATAGTATGGCGGTAACATTTATCTTTCTATCTATCTCATTATCCAATTAGAGATATGAATCCTTAAATCGGCCCTAACAGTAAATGGAAATATTTACTTCTACTGAAACTATAGTGATATTAAAAACCGTTTAATTAGTTTCTTCTTCTCAAATTTAAGATTGAAAATCACTTTTAATCAATCTTAAATAGCTAAGGAACTAAACATCAATATAGTTTCAGTAGAAGTAAATATTTCCATTTAGTGTACAGCGCCGATATAAGGATTCATAACTCTGATTGGATAATGAGCTAGATAGAAAGATATATGTTACCGCCATACTATTTCTATTGGTTCAGAATTGACGCCAAACACATAACTGAACCCTGATTGGATCAGGCGCTAATGGACTCGGCATACACACAAGTCTCAAATTCGGTTTTTCTAATTCCTATATCTGCAATGTGATGGCTCAGACCTTTGAAATATCAAAATATGAATTCTAGTATATAAAATAGCTTAAGTTGAAAATTTCAAATATTAACCCCATCAAGTTGCAAAGATATAAGGATTAGACAATTAGAGCTTGTGTAGAGTGTGTCTCCTCATAATTAATAAGGTTTAAGTTTTTACATGTTGCTCTTAATTAAAGATAATAAAATGCATTTTACACTTTATACACAGCTAAGCGGTGACTAACACACACACGGTCTTTTGACAAACATTCAATCCCTGATTCCACAATTTAATCATTAGCATGGGATATTTAAGGATTACCCAGAGAATGATCTCACTTATCAAGAATTTTATTTTCAAAATATGATTAAATAGTAAAAACTTTGTAATTTACTTTAATCTGAGTTCAGGACTTGTTAAAGTCAAATTCCTAAATAAATGCATTGATTTAATTATTTTTGTTTATTATTAATTAATATTTTATTTATTTTTATTCCATATGTACTGTACTGTACTCCATATCAGATTTAAAACTTTTAAAGGTAACTTTGTAAATCTGGCATTACAATCTTTGCATTGGGGGTCAATTAAAATTACGCTCACACTCCCTTTAATTCGACAGTCTCCTTTAAATTACTCTTACACTCCCTTTAATTCGACAGTTACCTTTAAATTACGCTTACACTCCCTTTAATTTGACAGTTACCTTTAAATTACGCTTACACTCCCTTTATTAAATTACGCTTACACTCCCTTTAATTTGACAGTTACCTTTAAATTACGCTTACACTCCCTTTAATTCGACAGTTACCTTTAAATTACGCTTACACTCCCTTTAATTTGACAGTTACCTTTAAATTACGCTTACACTCCCTTTAATTCGACAGTCCCCTAAAAAAAACTAATTTCAATAAAAGTGTTAAATGGTTTACTCCTCATGATTTGCTAACTACAGTATTTTTACAACACGCCTTTCAGCAAACCGCCCTGCGTCGGGTTTTATTGCTCAGATCTTTGAATTAATTTACACAGCCAAGCAACCGGAAATTTTAATGTTTAAAGAACTTATACAAAATGTTAAACAGCATTTTCTTTGGGCAATTTATTTATACTTAAAGGGGTTGAAAGTGTCAGCGTTATTTCAAAGATGGAGAAATGATAAAGGAGATATTGTTGTTTTATAGGTTTACAAGTTTTTAATTCTAATCATTCCTGTGTTTTCCTGCAGTATAAAAGCGCAAGTAACTTTTGTAGATAGAGAAACCACCGTTAATTATAAACATTGATATCTAATTCATACTTGATTAGAAAAAGCTATAAAGGGTAACATTGTTAAGCAACCCTTTTTTTTAAAAAATAACGTGTTGGGAAATTATTAAAAAAGGTTGCGCCTTTCTAGCCAGTTAGGAATTATCGGAATTAAATACCTTTAAACCTAGAAAATCGACAATATCTTCTACATTATTGATCAGATAATGGTTTCAAACGTACCGTTGTGAATCGGGCATTGTATTTTTGCATGGAGGGTCACTTGAAATAATGCTTACAGTCTCTTTAAAGCTATGAATTCAGTGCTTAAACGGTTCATACTCCGTCTACAGGGTCTGAATGCCGCGTTCATACTCCGTCTACAGGGTCTGAATGCCGCGTTCATACTCCGTCTACAGGGTCTGAATGCCGCGTTCATACTCCGTCTACAGGGTCTGAATACTCCGTCTACAGGGTCTGAATGCCGCGTTGTTGCTAAAGATGGAAACTAAATAAAATAAAAAAAACTTATGACACTTAATGGTGACTAATCAAGGATATTCTTTAAGGTTAAATGTATTGTTGAGATGGCCTAGAAAAGGTGCTAGATCAACCAAACAACGAAAAGAGGAGAAGGTGCTGTATCAACCAAACAACAAAAAGGGGAGAAGTTGCTAGATCAACCAAACAACGAATAGAGGAGAAGGTGCTAGATCAACCAAACAACATCTTTATGAATAATGTTTTAGGTAAGATCGTTTGTTTTGAATACACCTTCTTTGATATAAACGCTTAAAGGTTACCATGAACGAAATTCGATTTTTAATACAATATCAACATGCCTCTTGTCTTATCTGTAAAACCAGAATGATCAGAGTTTGATCGGAAGATATTATGGAAACTGCAGAATTTGAACCCGTTAACTTTCCAATATATCTTCTATATCAAACTAAGGCATTTTACTAACTTTAAACCAGGATTCAGGAAAATTCTGGAACATTTTATGTTTTATCTAGGCAAGAGCTGACAAATGTACTAAAATAACTTTATTACAAGATTTAGATTTTAAAATATTTCATCTTTTTATTATTCGGTTTAAAGAGACGGTCCGCGTAATTTCAGTTTGTTTTCCCGTTACATGCTAGTTTAAATAGTTGCCCTTTAACCCATTATCTGAGCAACAATGAGAAAGATATCTTCGTTTTTCTTTAAATTTTAATTAAACGTTACTTGAAATTATATTTAAAAACGAATCCAACTTTTACATAAATTTTGAGCGATGATATAAACTACAAAAAAATACAAATAAAAACGTTTAGGTTAAATTAAATGCCATACGATGTTAGTCCGAAGACCAGACACACAAGAATCTATTAATGTTTCTCTTTTGTATCCCGCAAAATATTGAAAACGACATTCAATTAAAATTCTTAACAAGACACGCTTAATAAAAGAAAACTTAGATAATTTCTTATTTTATTTGCCCTGGACCCCCCCCTTCCATCAGAAAAAGAGCAATATCTTAACTTACCGTTCCTGTAATAGTAAAATCACGAGAGGTTGCTCTTTTTCAGAAGGAGGGAGAGGGGAGGCCGTCCAGAAGATCTACGAGATAGAGAGAGAGGAGAATATTTGGATTTAAAAAATGTTATCCTAATAAAAAAGACTTTATTAAGGAGAATTGAGTGGAGAGTGCGTAGAGTCTAGAATGCACGCTACCGGCCCACTGGCTATGGTCTCACCGATCCATGGGTTCGAGCACAGCAGGCTGTCAAGACAGGAGGAGGATAACCTAGCTGCTGCGGCCATCTCTAGTCATGTTTCTCAAGGTTCAGCTCCTCCTCCTCCAGCTCCGCCTCCTCCTAGACCAGATTCTTCTCTTCCTCTTTCTCTTCCTGAAGCACATCCTCCCTTTACAGACCCTACAGAGCAGGCGCTCTTTGAGGCAGATAAAAGACAAATTTACAAGTAAGTCTCAATATTTTTATATCTTTATCAAATACTTGCTTGGGAACCCAGCGTTGCCCATGGTACTCATAGTTTCTCCCGCCGTTTACCCGTACCTGGTCTTAAATTACGATTTTTTCTATTTTTCCCTGTACAAGTCGACCCAATCAACTTAGAATCTCAAAACCAACGAAAGATTCCCGTGGTGCTCCTAACTTCCCCAATCAAAATTTGAGGCAAATCGGTCCATGGGTTCATGAGTTATGATCGGACATACAAACAGACAAACTGAGAATACAACTCTAAATAGATTTAAAAGATATTTTGTTGAAATTCCATATCTCTATTTTCTTTACATTACAAATATCTTTTTTGTTGAAAAAAAATCTCAATTTTTTAAAATTACAAATCTCTATTTTGTTGAAATTCCATATCTCTTTTTTCTTTACATTACATATCTCTATTTTGTTGACTTTGCATATCTCTATTTTGTTAAAACCACGTATCTCTATTTTGTTGAAATTACATATCTCTATTTTGTTCAAATTACATAACTATATTTGGTTGAAATTCCATATCTCTATTTAATTTAAATTACATATCTCTATTTTGTTGACTTTGCATATCTCTATTTTGTTAAAATCACGTATCTCTATTTTGTTGAAATTACATATCTCTATTTTGTTCAAATTACATAACTATACTTGGTTGAAATTCCATATCTCTATTTAATTTAAATTACATATCTCTATTTTGTTGAAATTACATATCTCTATTTTGTTAAAATTACATATCTATATTTAATTGAAATTACATTTATCTATTTTGTTGAAAATATGTATCTCTATTTTGTTGAAATTACATATATATTTTTGTTGAAAATATGTATCTTTATTTTGTTGAAATTACATATCTCTATTTTGTTGAAATTACACATATCTATTTTTTTGAAATTACATATCTCTATTTTGTTGAAAATATGTATCTCTATTTTGTTAAAATAACATATCTCTATTTGATTTAAATAACATATCTCTAGTTTGTTTTATTACACATTTCTATTTTGAATATTGAAGTCCATATTAATGTTTTAACACCTGTTGTCAAGGTGTTTTTAATGAAGAGTAAATCAGAAATAATAATATTAAACAATTTACAAAAATTTTTCCGTACATTTTAGAAAATAACATTTTTTTTAGGGGGGGGGGGCACTTTTTTCTTCCTTTTTAAAAAACACATGACAAAGTCATGAAAATGATTCACATTGAAAAAATCAACTTTAATATATCATTTTTCAGACATCCCTTGTTTCCTCTTTTGGCACTTCTCTTTGAGAAATGTGAACTAGCAACACAATCGGCAGATTTCCCATCCAGTGATACTTTCAACGTAGATATACAGGTAATACTTTAATACAAGATAGATAGATACATCTTGGAAATGAAAAAATGTTTGAAATTGATACATAGACTCAACTTTGTTTATGTACACACTAATCATTGTTTATGTACACATTAATCATTGTTTATGTACACATTAATCATTGTTTATGTACACATTAATCATTGTTTATGTACACACTAATCATTGTTTATGAACAGGCGTTTGTACAACATCAACAGCAGGAAAAGAGATCTTTACTTTCAGACAGTGAGGAAGTTAACGAGCTTGTGAGTATTTTTTGTTCTTCCTTATTTGTCTTCCTGTCCTCGTGTCTTCCTGTATACCTGTCATCCTGTCTTCCTGTCTTCCTGTCCTCGTGTCTTCCTGTATACCTGTCATCCTGTCTTCTTGTATTTCCGTCTTTCTGCGTACATTTCTAGTTGTCTTCATATCTTCCTGTCAACCCGTCTATCTTTCTTTCTAGCCTCCTGTCTACCTTTCTTTTAATTTACCTTTATTCCTGTCTTTCTATTAACCTGCCTTCCTTTATACCTTTTTTCTGTCTTCCTGTTTTCATGTCTACCTTACTTCCTGTCTACCTGCCTTCCTGTCTAACTGCCTTCCTGTCTAACTGCCTTCCTGTCGTTCTTTTTACCTTTTTATGTCTACCGTTCGGGTTCAGGTCTACATATGTTGTTGTTTCATATCTTTTAAAACATTCACAATTTACTTGTCTTCTCTTCTTTTAGTGACTGTCTAAAATCGTCTCCCTGCCTTCCTGTCTTCCTTTCTACAAGGCTTCCTGTCTTCCTTTCTACAAGGCTTCCTGTCTTTCTTTCTACAAGGCTTCCTGTCTTCCTGCCTTCCTTTCTTTCTTTTCTTCAAGGCTTCTTGTCTACCTTTCTTCCTGTCTTACTTTATACAAGGCTTCCTGTTTACCTGTCTACCTGTCTTCCTCTCTTACTTTATAACGATCTTGCTGTCTTCCTTTTTGGGATTCTCCCTGTCTAAGGTGGGGCACTGCCATCTCCCCCCCCCCTTTTTCGTCCTTGCAACCTTTCCAGCCAAATCATACCCCTGATTATTTTCCCCTTTTCCATTTGCTTTCTTTTTATATTTCTAGTGTGTAAGGGTTGTAGTCAAGGAGTATGAAATAGAAGGGAGATACAACTGACGCGGCCTGCCCTACCATATGATTATACATGCTTTGCAGAAGGGTAATTTGAATAAGGAATATTCAAAATAGGTTATTGTGTACGCGGTAATTGTTGACATCAGACAAATTGTTCTTATTCTAATGAAGTATCGTCTGCAAAGCATGTATGAGCGTAGGGCGGGCCGCGCCAGTTGTATATCCCTTCTATTTCATACTCCTTGGTGTATACTCTATACTGTATATAGTTTAACAAACCAATAAAATACTATGTATTCCAATACTATACTCAACCCTATACAGATTACAAAACAAACCATATGGTCTAAAGAACCACCCCCCCCCACCTTCTCCCTCCCCCCTTCATGACTAACTATTTTTTGTATCTTACTTCTGAAGAATTTCTGCATTTTTAAGTAAAAAATTTCCGATTTGTACAGCGGGAATTTCTTGAAATTAGCAACGGTTCGTAGAATTTCTAATTATGTGATCTTAATTTATTCACAGCAGAAGCGCAGACATCTTTGTTTCCAGTCTACAATATTGGGCGTTTTTTTCTTCTAAAACGATTTTTTAGCAATGACTGGAAAATTGTCTATAGTTGTCCCCTTACTTAAAGAGCAACGAAAAGTTCGGCAATTGTTCTTAAAGGGACTTTCAATGCACTTCACAATGACTTTTTACATAAAAAAATTGCACGCCCATTAAATCATTGTCTTCGCAAAAATGTTAGTTATCCTTGTTTTTCTCTCTTAAAAATGATAATCTTCAATTGTGGTTCTCTATAAAAGTTACTTGCAGATTTTTGCAGCAGAGACATTGAAGGAAACTGAATAAAATTATTATTGTTAAAGACGGAAAAATAGGATTTCTTCCATGTTATTAGCCCGATTGGATCGGACGTGTAAAGTTTTAACTACTTACTAGAAAATAGGTTGACAGCCACTTTAAAGGAAGTGTTCGCAGAAAATTAAAGCCCGGGTATAGGCAGATATCGATTGCTTTTAATTATACTTTTATATGTTGCGTATATAAGGAGAAAATGGTTAAAAACGTCTTAATCCCAAGAAAGTGTCGTCCTATAAAAATTCACCGAGTTATTCCACTTAAGTCGTAAATAATTCAATCAAATTTAAAATTAAGCATTCAGATATTACAACCTATAAAAGTCGAATTAGATTCAATGCATTGGCATATAGTTGATATTTCATAATGTTTTTTTATTAACAATGTTTTTTGGCCGCTATGAGTCTCTTCCAAGTGAACTTACTGAAATATCGAGAGCAGAGACACCTAGCGGCCAAATAATCGTCGTTTAAAGTACAACGTATATAAAAATTATAATTTTTATTTCAGATGATCCGTGGTATCCAGGTTCTCCGAATCCATCTGCTAGAACTAGAGAAGGTTCAAGAACTGTGTAAAGATTTCTGTAACAGATATATAACTTGTCTCAAGGGGAAGATGCAGAGTGAAAACCTGCTACGAAGTGACTATGGAGGATATGACAGTGATGACAGTGGGAATAGTCGGGCGTCCTCCAGTCAACCCTATCTACCACAAAATGTAAATATAATTTTCTTAAGATTTAAATTTTTATTATTATTTTTTTCTTTATAAATCAAATATAACGTCGAAAATCTCTTTCCTGACATTCCTGTATGTTGGTTATTATCATTTATTCCCTAAATCTCTTGTTTCCTAGCAGCCATTCATTTATCAAAGATTTATTCGATTTTAAAACGAAACTCCGGAAAGTTCTCTCTAAGATTTAATGCAACTCGTAAATTTTGAAACGATCCCTTTAATCAAATCTTGTGAATTTTTGTACGATCCCTTTAATCAAATCTTGTGAATTCTTGTACGATCCCTTTAATTAAATCTTGTGAATTCTTGTACGATCCCTTTAATCAAATCTTGTGAATTCTTGTACGATCCCTTTAATCAAATCTTGTGAATTCTTGTACGATCCCTTTAATCAAATCTTGTGAATTCTTGAACGATCCCTTTAATCAAATCTGAACTAAATGGAAAGCCCGGTTTCTGGTTCCTGGGGCGATACCGTTTCCTTGTTCATTTTCAGTTTCATTCTAATAAATATCATATCTTGGATACACCTTCAGGGGATTTGTTTTAATTTATTCCACTTCTTTAGGGGATTAAACTAATATTTTTCACTCCCTGAGTTGGATTAAACTAATATGTGTCACTCCCTGGAATGGATTAAACTAATATATATGTTTCACTCCTTGGTTGGATTAAACTAATATGTTTCACTCCCTGGTTGGATTACACTAATATGTTTCACTCCCTGGTTGGATTAAACTAATATGTTTCACTCCCTGCTTGGATTAAACTAATATGTTTCACTCCCTGAGTTGGATTAAACTAATATGTTTCACTCCCTGAGTTGGATTAAACTAATATGTTTCACTCCCTGCTTGGATTAAACTAATATGTTTCACTCCCTGCTTGGATTAAACTAATATATTTCACTCCCTGAGTTGGATTAAACTAATATGTTTCACTCCTTGGTTGGATTACACTAATATGTTTCACTCCCTGCTTGGATTAAACTAATATGTTTCACTCCCTGGTTGGATTAAATTAATATATTTCACTCCCTGAGTTGGATTAAACTAATATGTTTCACTCCTTGGTTGGATTACACTAATATGTTTCACTCCCTGGGTTGGATCAAACTAATATGTTTCACTCTCTGGGTTGGATTAAACTAATTTGTTTCACTCCCTGTTTGGATTAAACTAATATGGTATATGGATATGTTTTATGAGACAGATTATTATAGGATTTAATCATTTAACTGATATATTTAACGCCAAAGAAAAATAAACTGATATGTTTTAAACCTGGACGGGATTAAACTCAATTTTTTAAAACTTGAATGGGATTAAATTCATATGTTTGAACCTGGATGGGATTAAACGAATATGTTTTAAACTTGGATAGTTTTAATTTATATACTTTAAACCTGGGTGGAATTTAACTTATTTGTTTTACTCACTAAATGGGATTAAACTTATATTTTACTCCCTTGATGATATTAAGCTGATACTTTACTCCCCAGATAGGATAAAAATTTCATTTGTTTCACTCCCTAGATGATATTAAGCTGATATTTTACTCCCCAGATAGAATAAAAATTTGATTTGTTTTACTCCCTAGATGATATTAAGCTGATATTTTACTCCCCAGAAGGATAAAAATTTGATTTGTTTTACTCCCTAGATGATATTAAGCTGATACTTTACTCCCCAGATAGGATAAAAATTTGATTTATTTTACTCCCTAGATGATATTAAGCTGATATTTTACTCCCCAGAAGGATACCAATTTGATTTATTTTACTCCCTAGATGATATTATACTGATATTTTACTCCCCAGATGGGATTATTCCAAAGATGGGATTAAAATAAATATATTTTTCTTCCTAGACGGGTATGTTTTTAAACTGGTATATTTTTACTCCCTAGGTCAAATTAAACTAACGAATACTATTTTAAGGGACTGTGATTTAGTAAACATACTTGAGGATATAATGAAAGAATCTTCAAGATGGGAGAATTCAAAATCTTTAATTCGGTTAGTTAATTCTTTATTATATACACCATTTGCACTACAAAAAGACATAAAATCAGGCGTAATTAGTTCGAAACAATGATTTGTCCCAACAATGACATTTGCTGTCAATTTTAACGAAAGCCAAAAAATTCTAAATAATTTAGAATACTGATAATATTGAGAACAAATACAAAATTTTTGACAAAAACGCGGTTCGAACGAATTTCTTTTGAAACTGACCCAACTATTTAAATAAACAGGCGAAAATCTAATTTCAATCTGTTTTGTAACATTCCTGTCTATACAGATTCATGGTCCATTGTTTTTTTATATTATTCACAATAGATGCTTAAATTCGACTTTCTTGTTTTACTGAGTATTGATTGTGCTGTTACGGATACTTTATGTAGAACTTGACATGAATTCTAAAACTATTTTGCCATTATTACCGGAGTTTGAAGATCGTAAAAACCTCCTTTACCGGCATAATTGCCATATTTGAACAATTATGTATTGCTGCATGGAAGCTAAATGGCCTCCTGTCACGGAATGGTGACAAGTAATTACTCTCGAGTAAAACTTGAATTCTTTATTAACTCTTTAACTAATTAAACACAAAAGAATAAAGTGCAGTCAACCCGTGTCAATTAATTGCTACTGTTTTACTCAAAGAAAGCGGAAACTATTTCCGCGCCAAAATCCAATGTCGTGTTCTAGGAAAAGTTACGCGGATTTTCTCAACAACTAATTTTGCGCATTTTTCAGAATGATCAATGCAACAAATCCTGGAGAGAAGGTGAAACTACAAACCTGTGAATTCAACTAGAAATTGTGAAATTACATCATACATGATGCATCATGCATCATGCGGCAGTTATGAAATAATACATAATTTCTCCCAAAGAAACAAAACGCTAAATAAAGTGACCCTGTGCAGCTAGGATGCAATTTTAACGTCCACACAAAGCCGGACTCAAAATGCTCAAGAATGGCTTCAAGTATACGTAATGGCATTAATTAATGGCCGCAGTCTAACTGCATCATTTTTATTCTAAATATTGTTTAACAATATAAATTTGTAATTTCTCATTTCAAACGAGCTCGTCGTATAATCTGTATCCAGAAATAAGTCCAGCAATATTTTATGCAAATATTCAAATATTTTAAATTCTAGGCTTACTACTTCCAAGCTAAAGAACCTCTTCAGTTAAATTCGAAAATATTCATTCCTAGAATGAAAACTGAATATGACCAACATATGCAAACAGAAAAACATGAAATATACAATAAAAACAGGTTCTTTCTAAAGTAAGCCAGACTTTTTAACGATAGCAAATGTACCAATCGTATCCGATCATAAGTTATTTATGATAAAATTCACTTGCCTATTTTTCTAGTATAAAAGTACCATTTTAATATCTTTCAAAGATTAAATCATAAAAACCAAATTGATGAATATTTTTAATTTTGGAGACTTGGAAATCGGAGGAAAACTCTTTAAAAGACAATTCCTGAGAATTAGTTGAATTGTACTTACAGATTAAATTCAGATGGTTTATTTATTGATTTTTTTGTTTGTTTTCTGGTAGATCGGTTGGTGGGATTGGTGTTGGCTGGCTTGTTAGTTTTATTGTTTGGTGTTTTCAAGTTGGCTAGTTTATAATTGGTTTATTTTCAGTTATTTTGTTGGTTGGTTAGTTGGTTGGCTGTTGATGAATTGGATGGATTAATATTTTGGTTGATTGATTTTGGTTGGTTGGCTAGTCGGTGGGTTGGTTGATTGGTTGTTTGATAGTTACGTGTTTTGGTTGATTTGGTTGATAGTTGGTTGGTTAATTTTGTTGGTTGGTTTTTTGTTGGATGGTTGGTTGGTTCATTTGGTTGATTTAGTTGATTGGGTTGATCTTGTTAATTTGGTTGGTTGGGTTGATCTTGTTAATTTGGTTGATTGGATTGATTTCGTTGATTTGATTGATCTGGTTGATTCGGTTGATTTGGTTGATCTGGTTGATTTGGTTGATCTGGTTGATTATGCTCATTATCCTGGTGAAATTTTAACTTGCCCAAAACAAATTAAAATTCCGGATTTAATTTTTTTAAAACTTTTTTCGAAGAATTATGGAAATCAAAGTTGATTTGAAATCAAGCTAAATTTTATTTTTATAAGTAGATTTTTGATTCTAATTCAAGCTCATTACTTTCAAACTGAAATGATAACAAACAAATATGCAAGAACATGAATCAATAATAATATTTAACTTAAATAAACTGTTCAGAAATATTAAAATACAATCACTACTTTAATTTGATCTGGTTCTTGGGAATATTTCCCCCCTAAATAAATATTTTGGATGAATGGATGTCCCACGAAACATGACAGTTGGTAAATAATTTGGAATTTCTTCTTTCCTCTACTGCATTAGATTTTGAAGACTATTTACATTTTTTTCGTTAAATAAAATATTTTACTAAAATATATTTTACTTTGAAGTCAATTTTACTACAATATGACTACCATTGAACATTCTTACAATTCTCTTTGGTATTAGACAACTTAAATAATTATGGAAGAAGACATTTTTAATTATGTACCAACTGTCATGTTTCGTGGGACACACAGTAGCTCAATATTGAAATCTAAGCATTAAATAATATTCCATCTCTCTACAGTATCTGTGTCCTTTTTATATTCATTTATTTACAAGTAAACTTTAAATATTATTCAGTCTTTTTCTTTGTTTTAAATCTGTAAATCAGAGAGAGAGCTTAGTTTCTTTTTAGGTTGGGTTGATGTGATACATTGGAACTAATAAAACTGTGCTGGTTGGGTTGCTGTGATACATTGGAACTAATAAAACTGCGCTGGTTGGGTTGCTGTGATACATTGGAACTAATAAAACTGCGCTGGTTGGGTTGCTGTGATACATTGGAACTAATAAAACTGTGCTGGTTGGGTTGCTGTGATACATTGGAACTAATAAAACTGCGCTGGTTGGGTTGCTGTGATACATTGGAACTAATAAAACTGCGCTGGTTGGGTTGCTGTGATACATTGGAACTAATAAAACTGTGCTGGTTGGGTTGCTGTGATACATTGGAACTAATAAAACTGTGCTGGTTGGGTTGCTGTGATACATTGGAACTAATAAAACTGTGCTGGCATGAAAACTGTATTTACTCCAATGAACATTAAACATACCAAGTTTAATTTGAAACTATTATCCGTGAATTCAACATCAAATAAACAAAAGATTGTTTTATTGGCGTCTTCCTAATCCATAGTTTTATAGGTCCCACTGTAAAAAAGCATTTTCTTATTAACGTCAATGATAATTACATTGACAGTGACAGAACTCAGAACCACCCTGTATAATATATTCTGAAGTTTAAGATACAAGGTTTTTCATTAAACATGGTATTAAAGTGCCTTTAAGCTCGTTTGAGGTGAAAAAACAATCTGTAGGTTATATTCTCATATATATTTAAATTGTGGTTTATGTCTGAGTACAGAAATGACTGAGATATTAGAGATTTTCAAGCTTCAGCTGAGCAAAAATATCGAGGGCAGAATTTAATAAATTTGATGGGTTGCTGAATTACGTAACACCGGTTTAAATTCAGAATCTGCGAGTCAAATTCTCTTCAAATTTTAACCGGCCGTAGGGAGTTTAGCTACCTCGCTAATTCATTAGTTTCTGTCCATGACTTGTCTACTTTCCAATTTTTGTCATCTATAAATTCATGAAGTCGCCAGACGGTATTTTTGGAAGTTGAGAAATTGTTTAATCTGCGTTTCTGAACTACTGACTTGTCCTTTAATAATATGCAAAGAAGAAATAAATGTCGTGATTCAATTCCCATGTTTATTGGGACACCCTGCCGAGTGTCGATTATAGAACCAACCGAAATCATTTATGCAAATTATAATTATTTATTAGATTTTAAAAACTAATCGAAAGCGACATTGATAAATCCCATCAAATTCATATTTTTGCAGTTCTTCTAAACTAGAAAAAGCAAAGCTACAACTCATTTTGTATTTGAATTTTTTAAGCTATTAATATTTCAAACAATTTGGTTTTGCATTTTTTTTTCTTTCTTTGGGTGCCTTAAACGTTTGCGTTTACAGTGGTGGAAGACAAACAGTTAATAAATGTGTAATTGTGACGATTTAAAGAAAAACACACTATACAAATTTTTCAGCGGTCAAAGGTTAAAGAGTTTATTCCAGCGGTAGAAACTATGATATTATTATAAAATATAAGTGTTTCCATTGGTTGATCAAATTAAAAAAACCTGTAATTTTGCTAAGAGTGTAAGCCATGTCTCAACTGCTAACACTCAACAAATCTCCAAAATATATTTTTCGTAGACTAGAGAATATTGCATACAGTGGATGGCCTACAAGGTGGGATTTTTAAATTGAAATCCTATGTTTGTTGATCAACCCTGTATGCATGCGTAAACGCTTAGCATTTCAGTTCTTACGATTCCAACCACCCAATGATTTGCACAGACAGTGTGCGCACTGCGTACTATCCATGGTGTGCATTTTTGCAAACATTTATGTGATATGCATAGTTTCAATTTCTTCTGCTTACATTGCACATTTTATCAAGATAATTTTCTTTATTTTAAGTTTTAAGTATTGTATCATGTATAAAGTTCTAAAATATTATTTCTAGGGATTTCTAGTCCCATATTTCATAAAACACCCTATTTTAGTCTCATAATTTAATAAAATATTCTGTTTTAGTCCCATATTTAATAAAACATCCTGTTTTAATCCCAATTTCAATAAAACACCCTGTTTTAGTCCCATATTTCATAAAACACTCTGTTTTAGACCCATATTCAATAAAACACCCTGTTTTATTCCCATATTTCATAAAACACCCTGTTTTAGTCTCATAATTTAATAAAATATTCTGTTTTATTCCCATATTTCATAAAACACCCTGTTTTAGTCTCATAATTTAATAAAATATTCTGTTTTAGTCCCATATTTAATAAAACATCCTGTTTTAATCCCATTTTCAATAAAACACCCTGTTTTAGTCCCATATTCAATAATANATCTCTTCTACAATCTAATTATAAAAAGAGAAGTCCCAGTTTTCTCCAAGGTGCCCCCTTCACCCTGAACTAGACTCGTCGCCACATCAACTCTTCGTCCGAGCCACATTTTCATAATATTCTCATTTTAACCACATCAAAATGAATTCCATCCAATATTATATCATTTATATTGCGCGCCAATACGCGCGTAAGCTTTACAAGAAAAAAGATTGACATTGTACTCCGAAGATATATGTGAACACTGAATCAAACTCATTATTTTATGCCCAAGAATTAAGTATTCCGGAAAGAGAATATTGCAAGAAAGAAAACTTGGAGATGGAGAAATGCAGAAAAGCGGCTCGGACGAAGAGTTGTTAAAAGTTGCCTTCCAGTCCTCATTCGATACACTCGATAAACATCCTACTGTCCACTAAACACGTAATCTCAAGCGTGCAGTCAAACTATCTTTAAATTGTTAAAAAATGGTGTAACTGTTTTACGGATAATGCAGAATTCTTTAAATCAGACGTTTCAAGTTTGAATTCTTGGATAGTAGGTTTATGCAAAATCATAATCCATTTTTAATAAACCATTTATGTTTCGGCTAATCCCGCAGAGCTTATATCTTAGTTTTTACCCTGAGCTAAACCTGAACAACTACGTATGCTAGTTAGCACCCTGAGCAAAGTCTTCGCGAGCTTATAAACTCAGTATTCTAGCTAATACCCTGAGCTAAACCTACGAGAGCATATAAAAGTAGTATTAAAGCTTGTACCTGGAGCTTGAGCTTGAGCTTACCTAAGCTTATAAACCCCGTATTCTAGCTTATAGAGTCAGTATTCTAGCTAGTAACCTGGGCAAAAACCTACTTGTATCCCTGTATGTTAGTTAGTACCATGATATAGAGAGAGTGTGCGTATCCTTGTATGCTAGCTAGTACCCTGAGCTAGAGAGAGTCTATGTATCCCTGTATTCTATCTGGTACCCTGAGCTATAGAAAGTCTGTGTATCCCTGTATTCTATCTGGTACCCTGAGCTAGAGATAGTCTGTGTGAGTGTGTATCCCTGTATTTTATCTGGTGCCCTGAGCTAAAGATAGTCTGCGTGAGTGTGTATCCCTGTATTCTATCTGGTACCCTGAGCTAGAGATAGTCTGTGTGAGTGTGTATCCCTGTATTTTATCTGGTGCCCTGAGCTAAAGATAGTCTGCGTGAGTGTGTATCCCTGTATTTTATCTGGTACCCTGAGCTAGAGATAGTCTGTGTGAGTGTGTATCCCTGTATGCTGGATAAGTGGTGAAGGTTTACTCTACAGTTTAGCGCATATTGTACTGAGAATAATACATATCATTAACAAGATTTATTGGATCTGGGAACCTATATTTATA